TCTAAAGATATTAGACTCCCACTCCTCAGTTTAATGGATGTGTTCTAAGCAGTGGTAGTCGCTTGTCTCCCTTCCTACCAAAGTGGATTTAACATTTAGGCATTATTTAAGTTTATTGAAATTTCTTCTCAGTAAACATTTGTCTGGTGAAGTGCTGTCACTCAGTTTATTGAGCAAGGTCCTGTTTTAACAATAGTAAAATTACCAACAACACCTTTTTAAAGAAAAATGACCAGCAATACATTTTATAGTAGAATTGCCCACAACACATTTTATTGGCAGTTAAAGGCATACAATTGCGTTCAAAATATTTAGCTTTCAGCATTGAATAACCCAGAGAGATTGATATGTCACTAATCAAAATCAATCAACCATAAATTATTTCCTAGCATAGGGGTCAAATTTATAAAACTAATAAATAGTTAACTTCTATGAATATGATAAACAAACACCCCAAAATTATGAGTCAAATGATTTTAATGAAATATTTGAGATGTTCCTTCTTTTTATTTTTATTTCTTTTTTTTTTAATTTTATTCTTTCAAGATGTAGGCAGTCATGGCTCTCCACTACTTCCTATCCCTTGTGGCTCTCAATAAGTTTTGTGCCTCTGCCAATTCCCCCAGACCACATTCTGCCATCCACTTGCTTAACCCCACCAGGTATGTCATGCGTTGCTTTCCCTTGTCTCTTTTTCCCTCTATTCAACCTGTGAGTATATGAAGATTTATCATATTTCCACTCGGACTATTGCCCTTAATTTTGTTATAACAAAGTGCATGATAACAGTAACAAAATATGTACTGGAGGACCTATTATAATCTATTATAATAATTAATGACTTAAAGGATTTTATGTAATTCCTTCACTTTGAGAGATTCCAGTCTCTGCATTAGTCTTGTGTATTGTTATTTCTGTTAAATCTCAGATTTCCTGAGGATATTTTCTTTTACAAATCCTCTCAGAAGGAATTAATAAAAATCAAGAAAAGGGTAGAATTAGTGCAATGTTTAGGGTATACAATTACTTGGGCTTTTAAATTGAATTAAAATAAATATTATTGCACAACTTTTTCTCTTTTTTTTTCCGATCTGTCATTGCTAATTAATTTTATAATGTAAGTATTGTAGATATTTTATCAGGAGGATTCTGAAAGGATTTCTTAAAATAAATTCAATTACCAGGATTCAGTTAGCAGAAAGAAAAAAATGAAACAAATCCAGGAAGATAACAAATTTCCAACTAAGAAAGTTGGTTCACTGTGTCTTGTGAGACAGTTTTTCTCACTAAAATCTATCCTACACATTTATGAGTCTACCCATGACTGTGCATTGAATACTTTTTCCAAATCTGGTCTGCTATGTATCTAGAGATTCTTGATAAAATCCAAAGAAGAACCTGCAATTTTATCAGTCCTGACTCGTCATCTCAGCTACAGTCACTTTCCCATCACCATAACGCAAATTCCATATGCCTTTCCTATAAATATTTATAGTAATTGTTCTGATGGTACTTTAACTTTATGAATTTAAGTGCAGTACTAGATTGGCAGCTAAGTCTCATCATTTTAAAATTGAAATTGATAGATGTAAGTTCTATGCTAACAGTTTCTTCTCACTTGTGGAATACTCTTCAGGCTTTCTTGCTTTCTAATCAACTTTGATCTTCAAAAGTTTTTGTTGATTCCAATCTTAATGAGAATGGCTGAAAAACACTTGTCCCTCTCTAGCTTATTAGCAAAAGTGTACAAATGCATTCTGGGATATTTTCCTAGTCAATAAAACAGACCGGTTCCGAGTTTCATGTGATGCAGTCTTGGTCTGTTTTGCCTTGAAGTTACAACACTACGTTCGCTTGTCTGAGATTGCTTTTGTGTGTCAACCCCAATTCTTAGTTTGTGATCTTTTTTGCCATATTACTGTTGCTTTGCCACTCACTCTACAGTTTTCAATGCAATGCCAATTTCTTAATTTCTATTCTTTTATTGTTCTCTCGTTTTTTCTCTTTTTCTCATATTCTTTCACACTCAGAAATTTCTTGTGTCTTAGTAGCTTTATTGCCTTGCTTGGGGTGAAATTCATTGTCAAAGGAATCTATGAACAGCCTCGCTTGGTGAAGTTCTGGCTTTGTCAGGCTGTGATAGTGATACTGAGTGATACTACTTTGAGTTTGAGGATAGCCGTTACTTCAGATTGACTTCTAAGGGCAAATGTTTTTTTGCAAAGTAGGACATTATTTGGATGAAGGGCTGCCATCACTTATTTCACCAATGTTATTATAATAATGAAAAATTATGGGAAAAGCTTCAGAAGAGCCAATATTCCACAAAATCTCATTTTCTTTGTGATTCCTAGATAAATTATCTGCATATTACACAAACAGCGGCACAAGCACTGCAAATAATTATACTGTGCCATTTCTTCAGAGTTTAGCAAAAAAAAAAAAAAAGCATTTTCTTTTGGAAGTTTCTTAAAAACAGGTGAGCAAAATCTGAGTGGGGAGAAAAGAGAAAAAAAAGATTAGACTCACCTGTATGAAAACCCAGTATCTGGATTTCATGGCTTCAATATCCACCTCACACACACAAGTTACTTTTTACAATAATATGAAATTATTTTATGGCAAACTGTTTTATGGCAATATTTGTAGAAATTTCCCTATCATATCATCAAGTATTTGAGCTTAACAACTTTAACAAAATATTTCAATAACAATCATAAGTATGAATGCTGGTTATTTTATTTAATAAATGAGTAAAAATGAAAAGATTTGGTATTGATAACTTTTTCACTTTACTGAAACAGCCATTAAAAACTTCTATCTTCTTTCTTTCATTCATTCATTTTCTCACTGAAACCAAGTAGCATATGTTTTGTTTTTCTATGCATTCAAAACATAACAGTTCATTATTTATGATGTATTGGCAGGAGATGTTAAACACTTCTGTTTTTCCTTCTTTCTTTCTAGCTAAATCCCCATCTTACAAACATTAATCTCTTAATAATAATTTAAAAATAAGTACTACCACTGATTTGCTGAAAAATTAGCATACCCCAAAACTTAATGAAAAGAAAGTTTTACCATCAAAATCTTTGTTAATATTAGGAGGAAAGACCAAAGGACATTTTTAATATTAAATTATATTTGTTGATTCATTTGAAATTTTATTTAAAAATCTATTTTTTTGCATCAGCTTTGAGGAGTTAGGGGGGGCACAATTAGTATTTTAGCAGATTTTTTTTTTCAGTAAAAAACACTTTCATTTGGAAATTCTTACAAAAATCAAATAATTGTCAAATTTTAATTAAATTTTCAGAACTTATTCAAAAATGAATTAAATTATTTTTAGAAATGTGTGTTTTTTTTTTTTAAATCTTAGTAAAAATATAATATCTATTACCCACCACTTATTTAATTTAATGAAATTCTGAAAAAGTAAATTTTGATCCATTTAATATTTATATTAGTTAATAGCAGAATTTCTTGGAGAATTTAAATCATCAATTTCTTTTTGTTAAACAAAACCCCAATTACCAAAAATCTGTTCTGAATCATCAAATAAAAAATGCAGTAAAACTAAGACATTATTTAATTTAAAAAGTTTTTAATTGTTTTTATGAATAAGATATTATGGACACTATTGCCTTTAGAAAAAAAATCATCAATTTCATCATGATGACATATTGCTAAAAAACGGTGCTAAAATCAGCAATAGTTAGCAATTTTAAAATGACAATTCCTTCAAGTCAATTAGTTTCGAAATGCAGAAAAAATATTTTGCTTATTGAAATATTAAATTTAATTTATTAGCTTGAAATTAAAACTAAAATAAATGTATCAAGAAAAATTTTTCATTTTTAAAAGTTCATGTCAAACCTTAGATATCACATTTCTGTGGTGGTACCTATAAAAATAATTTATCAGATGAAGTTTATTTTATGGTACCTGGATTTTTGGTGATCTTGGTTTCTAGCACCCGATACTGTGCGTGTGTAAAATGTCACTTTTATCATTTTCACAATTACTTTTTAGCCTTTTGGATGAGATCAAAGTATAATATCAGTTCTTATCAGCTGAATCTGATTCTTTCTCACCTTTCTTTTTCTCACTGAAACCAAGTAGTGTTTTTCCTCTTTCCATGTGATCAAAACAGAATAGTCCATTATTCGTGAAGTATTGGCAGGAGTGTAACAATTATGCAAATTAAGGGAGACAGGGATAAGCACAATTATAATATTATATTATCATTTATATGGAGTAATGTAATCAGTTCATACACTCATTTGAGCCCAGGATTATAAATGGCCCTGAGTTCATCTCATCTTTGTCAGATCGGCCAAAGATCTTTACCTCAATTTTTGCCTTGAACCCAACATTAGATTACAGAGGACATCACCTTCCTAACTTTCTTCATCTCACCAAGCACAATCTCAGCAATATTTTTATTATAGCTCAGGAAGTTTCACAACTTCACAAAAGTGTTGAACCTAAGAAAGCCACTGGTCTAGACAATATCCCAGTGGTTGTTCTTAAAAATATCAACCTGGAATTATCCTTGATCTTAACAAAATTGTTTAACTGCTGCTTGAAGGAGAAATTCTTCCCAAGTTTGGGAAAAAAGTTAAGTGCATGCCCAGTTTTCAAAAACATGGTTGGGTGGGGGGGAGTGCTCATCATCTTCTCAATATACACCCTATCAGTTTCCTCAATGTCATTAGCAAGCTTTTTGAGATCACAATCAACAAGAAGATTGTTGATCATCTAAACAACATCTTGAGCAATAAGCAAGTATGTGTTTTATAGCTGGGAGGGAGAAGAAGTGGATTCACACCTTTGTCAAGAACACATAAGTAGACATAATGAACTTGAGTGGAATGTGAACTCAGGACTTTGATTCGTCAGTCTGTTACTCTAACATGTCACCAAACTCTACCATGCCACCATCTACAATAATGGAAATAATATGTGAGAAAAAGAGAAAAGAAAAATTTTAGACTTACTTGTAAGAAAACCCAGTCTCCTGATTTTATGGCTTCACTTATAAGTGTTTCTGCGACTGGACCCTGACCTTGTCCAAGAGAAATGGCTTGAATTCTGTTGAAAGATTTTTAAATATCATCATTTGTTTGACTTAATTGAGATTACAGAATTAAATATTTTCACAAAAATATTTTTCAACAACTATCTTCATTATTAATCTTTTAGTATTATTTTTTCCCTCTCAATTCCATTTGTTTTTTTGTTTTTTTGGTATTAGTAGTAGTAATAAAAATGATTACAGTTTTTTGGCCACTGCCACCGAGTGACCGGGAAAATCGTCACATCCTTACTCCTATGGCATCCTTCTGGAAGTGTCTTCTCATGACAATTGGCTTTCCCCAGAAACCATAGCTCGAGACTCAGGGTTGGACATTGGTGATCTAGGGACAGCAATACAGGACCAAACAGTATGGAAAAGGATTGTCAATAGACTTCTGACCAAATATAGGGAGTTTGAAGGATGATGAAGATGAATATTATCTTGAATGTGTTGCTGTTGTTTAGGGCAGTCTCTTTGTAGTCAGTGCAGTAGCTTTTTGTGTGTGGATGTGAATGGGGTCTTGACTTCTATCTTTCTCATGTCAAAATTTTGCACACTGCTCCTAAATTGTTATGCACACAAAAAACTTATGTATATGGCATATTATACATAGAGATTATTATTATATGAAGTATTGTCAGCCATTACTAATTTTTGACCATTATATTTTTCGTCTTAATTTTAATTATTTTTCATCACAACCAATCACACCAGCATGAAAATTAGTATTTTAATATTAGATTGTAGCAGTCTCTAAGTGATGATAGCTAAAAATAGAAAACCTTTCTCTTCTTTTACTGCCAAAAATCTGTGGGATAAAAAGAATCAGTTTGCCACTGGACAAGGTAATCAGACTTTTGATTCTAATTGCAATAGACGTGAAAATTTGAATACTACAAAACAAAGACAAACCGGTCTGGATTCCACTACCGATTACACAGTCCCTCAATGTGACTGATACTACAAGTTAAATACAAAATTACGTAATACAAGCAAATAATCATAATACTAAAACATTTATATTCTGTGTCACATATCACAATTTAAAACAGCCCAAACAATATTATAAGAAACACATGTAGACCTTTCGTTTTAATCATATATAAAAGTGAGCATTGAAGTCAACACTTAGAGGCAACAGGTTGTTTCATGCTAGAAGCAATCGTCAGGCCACAAGTGTTGTTTCTTTTTCCTCAGCTATTTATATATACAGGTCAGTGGTGCATTGTGGGTAGTCTATTTTGGTGGTTATTGTGCTGTAAGCTGTTTATTTGTTTATTTATTTATAGTATGACAGTTAATAAAATCTGAAGAATAATGAGAGTATAATTTCCACAGGGAGACCTCCAACCGACCACATTCCTCAGAGAGTAAGTCCTACGTCTTTGTTTATTTCTCATTTTGTTGAGAAAAAACACAGGCATGTTCAACAATTCTGATATTAAAATCTCTTCATACTACAATCAAAATATAATAAATATTGATTTTATTGGCAATAATGTTATCATTTTGTTGTATTTTTATTCTTCAAATTTTATTAATTGGCCTATTTTATATATATATATATACATACATACACTAACTGATGAAGACCAACCAGAGGGCACAACAGCTGAAACATTATGTGTGTGTGTGTGTGTGTGTGTGTATATATATATATATATATATATATATATATATATATATGAATTGTATGACAAATTCAAAAAAAGTTTTTGTCATACTATTTTTGTAAATACTGTTTGTTGACATATAAAATTATATATATATATATATATAACAATATATAATTTTTTATAATTTTATGTCAACAAATATAAAATACATACAAAATTATATATTGTTTATGTGTGTGTATATATATATATATATATAACAATATATAATTTTTATAATTTTATGTCAACAAATATTACAAAATTATATATTGTTTATGTGTGTATATATATATATATATATAACAATATATAATTTTTATAATTTTATGTACAAATATAAAAAATTATAAATTATTTATTGTTTATGTGTGTATATATATATATATATATATAAAAAATGATAATTTTGTATAATTTTAGATGTCAACAAACAGTATATGGTCTGTTATAATAAATACCTTGAGCTCTTTTTGTGGATCAGTTTTAATATTTTATGTTATTAGGATTCCCTTGGATTATATACCAATGGATTATTACCTATATATCAGTCAGTTAGGTGCCATGCATGATACACACTTAAGCGATTATGCATCCTTCGACACATGACTGACAAGGCAGATTTTTTTCCACGCAGTAGATGCCATTTTTTTCTGCGGTAGACCAGTTGCTATCCTAGGCTAAAGAATCTGGTTTGTCCTGCTATTTTCCTATAGCTGGCAGGAGAAGAAGAGGATTCATACCTTTCCCAAGGGTATTAGCATGTAAGTGAATGCAATGGATTTGATTGAAATTCGAACTCAGCTCTCCGATTTCTCAATCCAAGCCACTATCCATTACCCCACCATACCTCTCTCTCTCTCTCTATATATATATATATATATATATATAGCAATTGTTCTTTTAAGTATATTAAAATGATAGCTATTTTGTGCCTATTATATCAAAAGATTATTTCATTGTTATCTGAAGATCAACAAAAATTCATGAAGTGTTGTCCAAGCTTTCAACTTGCATTTATGAATGGATATACATACATTAGGGAAAAAAAATGATCATTAAATATAATTGACACAAAATGGCTATCATTTTCAACAATATCCCTATATATATATATATATATATATATATATATATATATATATATATATTTATTTAGTTGATTACTGCCCCTGATAATAATCACAGGCGGAACGTTTTTAAATTACCACCCCCTGACAATAATTACAAGGTGGCACAAAATTTGAAAGAATCTCTGTGACTTTTCATAGCAAAAAGGTGTATTTTGTTTTGCTCTTGCAAAAATGTAAGTACCTCAACTACAGACACTGAAGGTTGCTTAGCATTCTTCACATTTCATTTCTCATTTTTTCCTTTTATAAAATGTCTTGTCAATATATTTTTCAACATTTCTTTGTCCAAATTCTGTGTCTTATTTTTTCTTTGGACTTACACAAGTCCACCAAAAATTGTTTGCAGGTCAAATGTACCAGGATAATATAAATTTTCACCAATAGCATTGAAACCCACAACAATATATATATATATATATATATATATATATATATATACCTACATTTCTGGTGTGACTTAAGTTTGCCTCTCTCTCTCTCTCTCTCTCTCTCTATATATATATATATAAGGGTAATTTACAATTGCCTGAGGAGATGCATCAGTATGCATTGAAACATGACTGCAATTGTGTAGCAACTCTTACATGTTTTTGATGTAATATCCTAAAATAAATGATATTGCTCTACTATGTACTAAGCCCTCTTTTAAATTAAATACTACGAATGTTCGATGCATATTCTATTCATTCTCATCGTACCTGGATATGCACATATTTATGTGTGTGTATGTGTGTATACACTTCAGCACAGTACAGCAGTCAGATATACATATCTTTACTTACAGTTCACATGTAAATAGCATGATCCAATCATGAAAATCTAGCCTTATGCCAGACTTGACAAAGAAACAAATACAGGTATCCTTTGATTAGTGCAGCTAATTTGTACATTGGTAACTATAAAAAAATCAATTTTCAATTACTATTATTAAACTGAAGAATGTTTTACCACACTAATCTAGTATTATGTATGCAGTAATCGAATTTTGCTATATAAAAATTTTAGCACACAAATTGAAAACGATGCCTGTACATGCATTTTGACGCACACACATTTTAGACAAAAATGCTCCTAAGAAAATAAATAAGATAAAAAAAAAAGAGAAAAATTATGGCAAGCATTATGCGGTTCAAGCAATAAAATTCTTCAAAAGATTTCTCTTTGGAAAATATCTTTCCTAGCAAAAATAACTACAAAAGTTATGTCAAGTCGACGCCTTCTCTGTCAACCACACATGGTCTTAAACACTTTGTTGTAATTCCTGGCTTTAAATCATTTACTTCTCACTGATAATAAATCTCCAAGATCCTCAGACAAAGTGGATTTTGAAGGAGAGCAGAAGATTTAAGAGACGATCAGCTGCCATTAATTCCTGAGAAGGCACACAATCCCTTTTCAGCATTTTCAACGCATTTCTATAGTAAAAAATCATTAGCAATGCATTTACATTATTCATGTAATAGCTCTCTGTTCAAGTGGTTAGAATGTTCACTTTACAATGATGAGATCCAGGTTCAACTATCCCCACAGTTAGTTTGTAAGAGAGGTAGTTTCTTGAAGTTATCAGAGGTGATCATTGGAAAGTGCCTTAAAACCATACCATGCCACAGGTTAACTCAAGCTTTGTGATTGATTGATGGGTTTAAAAGGTAGATCGACCTTTGTCAGGTCATTTTATACATAATAAGATTTGATTGGGCATCATGATTTGTGTATTAAATTTCATTTGTGAATAATATTTTAGTAACATTCAGTTGAAAGCGATAGCCTTTGTAAAGGCATCCTGGGTATGATGATAAACTACATATGGCAGCAAGGCCTCTGACAAGGAGTTTTTCAGGAGCATAGAATCACCTCTTAATTGCTGTTGTTCTCAGGATGTTAGCAACTGTTAGGGTTGTGCGCGAAAAAAAAAAAAAACAACTTCTTGCAACACAAAAAACGAACACCTTCTTGAGACACAAAAAACGACCGCCTTCTTGCGAACCAGAAACCAATGCTACACAAAAACGAACACCTACTTGCTACACAACAGCAAATGCCTTCTTGCGAACCAGAAACGAATGCGACACCAAAACGAACGCCTACTTGCGACACAACACTTTACGACAGCCAACGAGCAAAACAGCACCCAAGACTGCTGCCGACGGACGATCAACCGCAACGGCTTTTGTAACCCAAGAAAAGACACCAAACGACTCGCGCATCTTCTTCTTATATTCCTCG